ATGTATGTATACACACATAACAGGCCTATTTACTGTAATGAGAAAGTTTACCTTACCGTTTTCGATCATGAGGGGGAAAACCTTGAATTTTGAAGAACAAAGTCATTAGACACCTAGCTCAAAAGTCAAGAAAGGTAATTTCCCGCCATCTAGAAATCAAAATTTTCCCGGGGGAGGAATGTTGACCCCACCACCTAGATTTGATTCCAGGTCTGCATGATTCATATTCCCATTCATCTTATAAGCAGTGGCGTAACAGGCAGGGGGCCGGTGGAGGGAAGACTGTCGGTTTTTACCGGGCTGACCAAGCCGTCGTACCGGGCTGGGTAAGAAGAGAAAAGAAAGAGGGGAGAGGGAGGGAAAGAGAAAGAAGGGGAAAGAAAAAGGAAAAGAAAAAGAGAAGAGAAAAATAAAGACAAGAATAAAAAGGAAGATATAATGAACAGATATCACAATACCAAGGCCTGCAACCCCTTCTCCACTTCAAAAAGTGTCCATATCGCATTTGATCTAAGCCGCCAGGTATTCTCCGCAATGGCGTAACCACCGGGGACAAGGGGAAAATATCCATCAGTGGAAAATCTTTCCCCATTGAATGCCCTTTTCACCCGGGAAAGTTCCTGAAAATCTCAAATTTTAAATCGCATATTTTGTTGAGGTAGGCCAATTTCCTTTAAAAATTGCACATTTTAGGGAGTTTTGATCAATTCCGACGAAATTAGAATTAAAAAACACAAAAAATTTTCACGCGCTTCGCGCGCATTTTTCCATGTTAAAGATTGTGCTTGCTCTCCTTTGCCTTTCTATGTTATAACACATAGTCCCAAACTCAAGAAAGAAAATTTAAGATAAATCGTTTTACCTAAAAGAAGGGCCTCAATGTGTAATGATGTTGAAAGAATATGTTTGTAATAAATAAAGCCATAAGGAAAATGCTTATATTCAGTTTAAACAAACGAGTTTGGCCATATATACATAAGAGCATTTCTTGTTGAGATAGGCCAATTTCCTCTAAAAATTGCACATTTAGGGAGTTTTGATCAAATCCGACGAAATTAGAATTAAAAACACAAAATTTTTTGTGTTAAAATTAAATTACTAACCGGGAAAATGATTACCTTTGCCGCCCCCACCCCGACCCAAGACCCCTGTTACGCGCC